TGTGTCTGTATTCATTTATCTCTTCTAAATCTTTCACACAAGTGAGATAGTAGAAAATGTACACTTTTGTCTCTGACTTATCTCACTTAGGATGATGTTTTATTGGGTTTCATTCATGCCACAGCTTATATCGGATCTTCATTTCTCTTTATGGCTAAGACTGGGGACTTTTAATATGGGATAAGGAGTCCCTGGGTGGTTCAGATGGTTAGATACTTACTTGACTGTCAAAGAGAAGCTGATAGTTTGAAACCACCCCCACCCCCAGTGGCACCTTGGAAGTCAAGCTTAGTAATCTCTTCTTCAGAGAGGTCACAGCCTTTCCTCTGCACACATGGGGTTGCCATGAGATGACAATGACTTGATGGCAATTAATAATAACAATATAGGAGAAATTCAGCGTCCTTTCCCTAGGCTTCATGCAGAGAGTAGAATGAGAAATAAGGGAGCATCCTTCAAGGATCTTACAAATTATTTATGCTTCACCCAAGGTTCAAGAATTAATCACTGATGACGAAGCTAAGACCAAACCCCAAACCAGACTCACTGTTGTCAAGTCAATTCTGACTCACAGCTACTTTATAGAGCAGAGTAGCTGTCCCATAAAGTCTCCAAGGCTGTACTATTCTTTGTGGAAGTTGATTACCACATCTGTCTCTCACAAAGAGCCTGGTGGCTTAGAACCACTAACATTTTGATAGCAATCAAGTGTTTAATCACTGCATTCCCAGGGTTCCCGGAGGCCCTAGTAAGATCTCCTCATTCCTCTCCTGGCAAATATAGTCCGGTTCCCCTATTCATGGCATCATCGTCATCTGGAATAACGGCTCTGGGGGGCCATGACTCTAATCTAATGGGAAAGGCCCACATATGAAGTTAGCAGACCTAGTCCCTTTCCTGGCTCTGCGAAGAACCAGCTGTGACACCTGGTGAAGGATAAATAAATGTACATAAGGCTGGAGTTACCATTTTAAGACAAAAACCAAGTGATGGTCAAATTCCCCCCCCCCCATCTCTTGTGGTTATAGGAGATGAACCTCAGATCCTTGTCAAAGGCACACCCAGGATGTCAAACATTTCAAACTTAGGTCCTGATAGACCCCACATACCTGCTGTCTGAGGTGCCTAGTGTCCTTGTGACAGAAGCACCACCATGTGTGGCTTTAAAGAACAGACCTTTATTGCTTATTTCTTCACAGTTCAGGAGGCTGGAAGTCCAAATCAGTTCGTCAGCCATGCAGATCCTTTCCTGGTGGGTAGTCTTGGGTGTTCCTTGGTTCTTTATCGTCACATAGCATCTGCCTTCCCCTGCTTTTGCTTGAATGCATATATGCTGCTTTCTACATAACTCAGATGTGATTCAGTCTAGGATCCATCTTTTGCTGATAGGATCTACACTGATTGATTATATCACATTATATTGTATTATGGAAGTGGTTACATTCCATTAGGTAAACCCACAGGTATGTTGTTGTTGTTGTTAAGTGCCGTCGAGTTGCAGGCGACTCATAGCGACCCTACGAAGGAAAGTCCTCGACACTTGGGTATCTCTCATCCTCTCTCCAGGTTCATAGGGTTTTCTGAGGCAAGCTATTATGGAAGTGGATGCCACTCCTCTTTCCAAGCTTGTTTTAATCGGGGAGCTCCACCCCACTTTCTGTCCGCATTGGGTAGCCACAGGTATAGGGGCTAGTATTCCAACCAAAAATCTACCCAAATCTAAGCTCACCACCCAATGGGATTTCCAAGACTATGAATCATTAGGGAAGCAGACAGCTTCATCTTTTCTCTCCACAGATCAGCTGGTGAGTTTGAACCACAGACCTTTCAGTTAGCTGCAATGGCTCAACAACTGTGATGCCAGAACTCCTCTAAATACATCTTGAGAAGACATCATTCAGTCCCTCACTCTTGTCTATACTTTGATCCATTTCTCTGACTTCATTGGTGATTTACCTTGGTCCATCCTCTTCTTACTGACAATCTCTGGTTTGCTGAATTTCTAGGTTATCTTGTTTCCAGTCTCAGCCCCACTTCCTGTAAAAAAAGCTTTTCCACTTCAGTTTGTAAAGGCAAGATCATCTGACCTGGTTCAGCTGTTAGGGAGGAGCCAGTGAAATAGCCAACCATGAGAGGTGTTTAATGTCAAAACATGATTAGAATTCCAGGACAGTTTGAGAAATGCCAGGCAGAAGTGGAGCAGAATATTTGAAGCTAAACTGTCCTGTAGGACAGGTGAGCATCGTAACCAGTTCTTAAGGTCCTTGGATAATGCAAACTGTTAAACACTCAATTGCTAACTGAAAGTTTGATGGTTCAAGTCTACCCAAAGACACCATGGAAGAAAGTTCTAAAAATCTTCTCTTGAAAGTTCCCAAACCAGAAACCAAACCCATACTTGCTGAGTCAATTCCGACTCATACTCTCCATCAGGCTTTTAAAGCTGTAAATGTTTATAGAAGGAAGTGGTCTCATCTTTCTTCCGCCCGAGAGGCGAGTGGATTTGAAACTTCAACCTTTAGGTCAGTAGCCCAACACACAATGTGCTGTAGAGCCACTGAGAAGTCTATGGAGCAGAGTTCTACTCGGCAACAGGTAGGTTACTTGTCACCAACCATCACCCTGTCAGGCAGTTTACAAACTGTGGTTGATACAAGATGTCAACCACTTAAAAGATCATTAACAGGATCAAACAGGGGTGGAGGGTCAAAACAAACAAACAAACATCAAACAAACAAACAAACAAAACCAGTATCAAACAAAGCACTTGATTGTCACATGAATGATGGTAAGGGTAGCATTAATTCTGCAGTAAGCTTCCAAGGTGGAAGTGCAAAAGTTCTTAGGGACTTGAGGGTGGAGGGAGGCAATGATTTATGCAGAAGATAAGGATATGAATCACAGCACAAAGGCAGGTCTGGGCATGCATGACAAGGGGACCATACTAAGGGTACAGATCACAGGTTTCATGCATGTTGTTGTTACAGAGGCTGTAAATCACTCAAGAGGAAATTGCCCATTTTTCTCCTGTAGCTGGGGGGGAACTCAAACTGTCTGCCTTTGGATTGGCAATGCATCTCATTAACACTCAGCCACCAGAGCTCCTAGATAGGGATGTTGTTGTTGTTGTTGTTGTTGTTGTTGTTGTTGTTGATTTTCTTCTAGTCAAGCACGACTCATAGCAACGCTATGAACTAAAGGCCTGAAGCCCCTCTACATCTATCAACATTTATCAAAGTTCATAGAGTTTCCAGAGGCATGTTGTTTAGAAAGTGGATGCCACTCCTGCTTCCAGATAGGGAAAACAGGCATAATGTTGAGAGCTCTGGGCTGTAGGGCTGCTGTGATGCTTAGAGTAGAGGAATTCTGGGGCAAAGGTTTACAAGGTGGCCCCCAAACCTACTGTCATTGAGTTGAGTCCAGCTCTGCAGTCCTTTATGCAGTTTCTGAGGCTGTAAGTCTTTAGGGGAAAAGATTGTCTTTCTCCCTTGGAGCAGTTGATGGATTTGAACTGCCAACCTTTTGGTTAGCAGTTAGACATGTTAAACACCAAGACACTAGAGCTCCTTTCACAAGGTGGCAGAAGCCTATAAAGGCTTGATTGCTGGTTTAGCTGATGCTGACTTACAGTGTCTGAGGAGGGCTGCCCCATATCCCCACAGTAGTGTTCCCAAGTGCTAATCTTTATGGGTAGGAGCCCTGGTGATGCCACAGTTAAGAGCTAACCTTTTAACAGAAAGGTCCACGTTGGAAACCAACAACTGCTCTCTGAGTGAAAGATGTGGCAGACTGTTGCTGTGACTACAGCCTGGAGTTAGACCCTGGGGCTGGGTCTGCTCTGTCCTATAAGATTACATGAGATAGAATGAGTCAATGGCAATTTTTTTTTCCAGACTGTCACATCTTTCTCTCAGTCAAGTGGTGAGAATCTTTGTTTTCTTGATGCTGAGCTTCAGTCCGTATTGAAGTCTGCAGTTCTTGACTTTCAGCAGGGAGCGCTTCCGGTCTTTAAAATTAGCTTGGGGAAAGTCTTACAATACCTAATTCTTATGGGCCAGCTCCGTGGGCGAAAGATGGGAAATCTCCTCTCCTGCAATCTACTGCCTCCGAAAAGCCGCTGAAGAGTCAGCCAGGACTCAGATCCGACTCGACGGTACTTTGGTGAGCAGCTTAACTCCTAATCCACTAGGCCACGAGGGTCCATAACAACCACCATCACATTTGGCTTAGCGGCCACTAGCCCACAAGGGCACCTTAACCAAGTAGGTGGCACTTTAACATTTCTGGGTTTAAGTAGAGGGGATTATTACGGAAAAAATAACCCGTTCCCACCTTTCGAAGAGTCAAGTGAAACCCATTCAGATCAGTTAAGAAACATGGCAAAGAAGTAAAACGGTGACAAGGCGTCTGAGTGAGTGGTTTTGACAGTGTGTGCCTGGAAAATGTGGGAATCAGAAACTGAGGGACTCTTTAGAAGAGGTGTTATTAGCAAAGGCTTCTCGGCGGAGGTGGCCTTTAGCCTGAAACTTGAATGGCCAGATTTGGATGAACGAGAATAGGAGAGGTCGGGGCATCCCCTCGGTGGAGTGAGCAGGGCGCCCACATCGTCCTCTAAGACCTTCTCGTCCCCTCTCCGACCCCTCCACTCCCTACCCGCCTCCTCCCGCTCCAAAGCCCAGCTCGGGTTCCCAGCACTGACGTCAGCGGATGATGACCTCTGCGCCGTGCAGGCGGGGGCGGGGCTGCGGCGGCGCGCGGGGCGGGGCTGGCGTCTGGACCAGCCTCCATTGGCTCGCGGCTGCCAATGGGCGCCCTCCCTTCAGGGTTGCAAGGTATGAAAGGAGCGTCTCGGGGGAAATTCCCTCCAGAGCCAGAGCCGCAGCGAGGCGAGAAGATCTGAGCCAGCAGTCAAGTCCAAGCACTTGGGAGGGGCGGCCCTTCGCATCCGGTAACCTCTCAGACCTTTCCAGCCGCCACTGTTCGCCGAGCTGCCCACAATTATGAACCAAGTTCACTGGACTGGGAAGAAAACCGACATGCTCCCGGAGATCGCCGCCGCCGTGGGTTTCCTCTCCAGCCTCCTCAGGACCCGAGGCTGCGTGAGCGAGCAGAGACTCAAGGTGTTCAGCGGGGCTCTCCAAGAGGCACTAACAGGTGAGCACACGCGGAGTCTCGTGAGTCCACCGAATTCCGCCACTGGGGGTTGGCCGCTTCCTGCCGGGAACGCCTCACCTCTTCTAGGGCAGCATTCCTAGTGTGGACAGCTCCCTTATTCAGTTTCCCTCTTCTGGTCTCTGGGGCGGCCACGGCCTCCCACCACCGGGGTCAAGTCCCTTCTCTCCGACTTGCGCTCGAATCCCACTCAGTCCAACCTGGTGATGGATGATGGTTGGGCGCGCCCCTCTCAGCTATCCGGGAAGCGGACTTTTTTTTTTTTTCTATAATTATATTTTATTAATTTTCATAAACATTTACAGAGATTTTGGGCTTCCACTCATTCATTGTTGCACTATTCTCTCTACCCTCCTCCCAGTTTGTTCTTGTCCAAATGCCACAGTGGAAGCGGACTTTTGTCCCCAAAAGTGATCTCGAGTGCCCTCCAGGTCCGAGTGGCAGCTCATTTCCTTCGTTGAACTCTTAGAGACCCATAGGGTCTCTGCTGACCATAAAGTTCATCTACCGAAGGAGACCTTCCTTATACGGAAAGGGAGTGCAGTTGAGCCATTTCAGCAACTGGGAAACCTAGGCGCGGTGCTGAGCCCGCCTGTAGTGTTGTTTCCTAAAGTTGAAAGTTGGGTCTTCTTTTCACTCTTAAGGTTCCCCTTAACCATCTGTCACCTATTTGGGTGACTTGTAGCTGGGAACTCCCTCTGGGGCTTGAGTGTTGGGAGACAAGGTGGTGTGTGTGAGGTGGGAAGTTGACGAGATAAGCAGGAGCTTCCAGCCGTTGCTAGATAGTTGGCAGCCATAACCCTTGGTAAATAGGCCACATAGATCCTGCCTTCTGAGGAATACCAGCTATTTCAGCAAAGCAACGTTTTTATTTCTTTTTACATTCACTAAGGCACAGCTAAGGATCTCTGACTTTTGAAAGGGAAATAGGGGAACTTGGAGACAAGATCAGAGACCTAATGGCTTGTTGTGGATACCCCATAGCATTGGCCAGATTCCTAGTCTTGGAAGTGCAGCTGCCAAGTCTCCAGGGGTCTTGCCCAGACATGCCAGACCTGGTCCTACCCCACCCTCCTTAAATCTGGTCATGTGCCAATAGCAGTACACTGACTGTTAGGGAGATTTCCAGACACCTAAGAGGTATGGGACACCCTCTTGCAGCCAGCCACCTTATCCACCAGCACATACGCGCACGATCTGTCTTGCACACACATAGGTGCGCAGGGTGCCTTTGAAAAGGACAAGTTTCTCCAGTTGTCATCTCCTCCAACCAAAACATCTTCTCCTTGTTCCGTCTCTACAGAGCACTATAAACATCACTGGTTTCCTGAAAAGCCATCCAAGGGCTCTGGCTACCGCTGCATCCGCATCAACCACAAGATGGACCCCATCATCAGCAAGGTGGCCAGCCAGATTGGACTCAGCCAGCCCCAGCTGCACCAGCTGCTGCCCAGAGAGCTTACCCTGTGGGTTGACCCCTACGAGGTGTCCTACCGGATAGGGGAGGATGGCTCCATCTGCGTCCTATACGAGGAGGCTCCAGTGGCCACCACCACCTCCTACGGGCTCCTTACCTGCAAGAACCAAATGATGCTGGGCCGAAGCAGCCCCTCGAAGAACTATGTGATGGCAGTCTCCAGTTAGATCCTTGCTGCTGTCCGCCCGCCCTGGCACTCTACTGTACTCACTCTGGCGTGACAACAGGCCCACTGCATACCTCAACCTGGGGAACTATATTTTTAAATGAAGAGTTATTTATATATATAAATATATAATATTTTTTTTAAGAAAAGAGGAGAAAAAAAAACAAACCAAAAGATTTTTTTAAGAAAAAAAATAAATCCTTAAAGGGAGCTGCTTCGAAGTGGCTTCCCCAGGTGCCTTTGGAGAGAACTTTTGTGTACTTCAGTCTGGGAGCCAGTGTCTGCCTTTGGGTGGGTGAGGTAGCTGGGGGATGGACCCAGCCAAAGTGAGGTGAAAGAGGGAGCAAGCAAGGTTAGCAACTGTGAATGGGAGAGGTCTGGATCAGCCCAGGTCGGGGAAGAGAACAGAGGTCCAGTTCTGATGTCTCCCTGGTCCTGCCAGGTCGCCTGCACTCCTGGCCTGCTCTTAACTTACTCAGGGGCATTCAAGACTGGACTTCACAGTTCGTGTGTGGCCTATCTTTGATTTTTTTCCGATGAGATCCTGGGCAGAGTGAAAAGACCTCTCCTTATTCCTTCTCTTGAAAGCAGCTTTTCTTGAAATCATGACTTGTTTGTAGATCTACCCTCAGGGGCCTGTAGATGTTGCTTCCCAGCCATGACTCTAAAGCTTTTTTGGTTTGTGTGTTGGTTTTGTTTGAGGGGACGTTGAGGAGCAAGGCAGGGGTTGGAAGCTGTTAGGGGTGGGACAGAAGGCAAGTGCACAAAACCTTTGCTTTGCTGTAATATGCTGCTCTGTTTGTGAGTACGTGTGGTGAATAATGTGGGGGTGATTTGCAATGGAATTTTGGGACCCAAAGAGTATCCACTGGGGATGTCTTTTGGCCAAAACCCTTCTTTTTTAGAACCCCATGAGAGTCTAGATGCTGCTGCTATTATCCCTTTCAGAGGTGACTCAAAAGCTCCAGGGAGCTCCAAGTCCTTTATGACTACCTTCTTTTCAAAAGCACATCAACCCTTGTCTCTAATGCTCCCCTCCTTTCCCCCCTTCTGGTTGGGTCATGGCACCACCCTATCTTCTAGGGCAAGAGTTCTCAGTCACTGTGCAATATGGCCTCCTGGGTTCCAGGGCCTTCTGGGGGGAGACCTGGCTCTCAGAGCCTTGTGGTGCCCTAGCTTTGGGACCTGTCTCTCCTGTTGTCCTGGGAACTCTGGCCAGCTGGTCTGCCTCACAGGTGGTCCTTGACTGAGGGGGAAGGACGCCCCAAGTTCGGCAAGACTCCGTGGTACTCCTGTGGGGCTGACACTAAACGCCAAACCTTGGGCATTACTTGTTTTCTTCCCTGGTGCTGAAAGCACCTGTGGAAGAAGTTACTTTCTCTCAGTCTGATCCAAATTTGTCTGTAGATGTGTGCAATATTTACTATTTGGGGTTGGAGAGAAAGGCTGCTGGGAAGAAATCCACTTCTCGCAGTTTCCCAGTGATGCTGATAACGGGTCCTCAGAAGGCCTTGAGTTTCCCAAACCGAATCACCTAAAGAAGGGGACTAGCTCGGAGCATCTGGTCAGTTTAGCTACTCTCCTGGTGTTCTTAGTGCGGAATCCTCCTCCCCCACTGCCCACCTCCGTGCTGTCCGCATCTAGCAGTCCCCTATCCTGTCCTGGATCTCTGAACCATCCAGTTCCAACTCAGAAAGGTGCTATTTACCAGACACTCTTGTCGTGCCCCCTCTACCAGCCCTGCCACCTCAGCTCTGGATTCCGTGCTGCCTTGAGGGGCTACCAGTCCTTAGTGCTTTAAACATTACCTTTTAGCCCACAGACCCGAGAGCCCATTTTTCTGGTTTGTGGCTTGAAACAAAGCTGTGAATCACTGCAGATTGTGTTCTTGCCTCTTGTCTGCAAACAGGTCCCTGCCTTTTTTAGAAGCAGCCTCATGGTCTCATGCTTAGTCTTTTTCTTCTTTCTGATGTTCACTTTAAAAAACCAACCCCAGAGCTGGACTGTTGAGCAGGCCTGTCTCTCTTAAGTAAAAATAATGGTAGAATGTTCATAAGCTATTCTGACAGAAAAAGACAAAGGTTACTAATTGTATAATAGTGGTGTTTTTTTTTTAATATGGAAGAATGTACAGCTTTATGGACAAATGTACACCCTTTTTGTTACTTTAATAAAAATGTAGCAGATGAAAACTGTGTGATAGAAAGCAGTATTTCCACATCACTATCATTTCCCCTCTCAAATTGAAACTTTTTTTTTAGATCTAAACTTTAATTGTCTTATGTTTCCCTCAAACTGAGAAGACTTTAAAACATATGGCTGGTATAAAAATCTGTTGTGTCACTGGGCTATTTCTAAACATCTTCTCTTCCCTGGGACCTACTGCCTTACTTCCCTTACTTCATGTGTGTACTAATAGCTTCGTGTGAAATGCTAGAAACGACACAACTCTTTGAATTGGAACAGTCCCTATTCTAACCAGGTCTCTGTCTTTACACTTTGTGTTGTTTTGTACCATGAACAACCCATAGCTGATCCCCTGGTGGGTTGGGGGGGGGCAGTTAATCACACAGTAGGAGACTGCCCCTCAGCTACTTAACACCAGGCCACCAGAGCTTCCTAGGCTCCTGTAGACTTTCTTTACTCAATTACTAGTTCATTCACCAAGCTTGTATCATCACTAACAGCAAGGTGGTGGTGTCAGGTGCTGTTGAGTCGAGTACTAATCATAGCGACCCTATCCTGTGCCATCCTCATCTCTGCCACACTAGAGCCCATTGTTACAGTCACTGTGTCACTCCATCTCGTTGAGAGTCTTCTCCCTCCTTCATTGACTTTCCCTTTTTGAAGGCTGCTGTCTTTCTCCAAGAACTGGCCCTGTCTAACAGCGTACATACCCAAAGTATGTGAAACGATGTTTTACTATTCTCTCTAAGGAGCATCCTGGCTGCACTCACTCCAAAACATACTTGTTGGTAGAGAATCTTAAAAATGGTAAGACACAGCTTGTTTCTCACAGGACAGAGATGGCAGGGCTGGCGGTGGGGATAGTTCCCTTTCCAGTCTGCTGTTTATCCTGTTGAGTCATGTATGACTGACTCAGAGTGACCCTAAGAACAACAGATCTGAGTTCTGCCCTGTCCTGTGCCATCCTCACAATCTCTGACACACTCCAGCACATTGCTGCAATCTCTGTCAGTCCACATGGTTGAGGGTCTTCCTCTCTTTCACTCTCCCTCCACCTTTCCAAGCATGGTATCTCTCTCCAAGGAATAACCTCTCCTAGCACCATGCCCAAAGTATGTGAGACAAAGTGTCATCATGCGTACTCATTTTCCAGTTTAGGCAGAGTTATTTGGAAGCCTGCGGTAAAGGCTTTCTTGCCACCTCTGGGACAGCTATTTACTACCCACCATTCTTGCTTTATTACCCATGAGCAGCTGGGCCTCTGTATCTATGCACTGGCTGAATGCCACATGTTAGCCAACGACCATCCACTTTTGGCAGCAAATGCTAGCATGAGAGCCAAAGACTTGTTACCGACTTATAACTCCCTTTGGTTATGTGGATAGAATCTAAACAAGGAAATAACATTCTTTATCACCCCACAACTCTTGTTTCTTTCCATGACGTTTGGCGCTGCCTTCCCACCTCACCCCACCTGCGGGCTCAGCAGTTCCCACTGGGAGTGAAAAGTATATTTTTGATCTCGATGAATTTTTTTTCCTCTTGGCCACAAGTGCACTGTATTTACACTCAATTTTGAGCATAATGTCTTAAAAAGCTCTCATATATTAAATATGAAAAACCAACCCCTACTCCCTTTACTTTTTACCTTTCCTCTATGGTTTTAATAGAGAAACATGCAGCTTGTTTCAGGTGTGCTAGGTCCGAGGGAGGCTGGGGAAACAGTGGAGTGTTTGTAGGGGGAAAGGTAGCTAAGCTGGAGAAAGGGGAGACCAACTTATTGTTATAAATCAAATTTGTTGCTGGGACCTACTTGTGTTAAAAGTCTGTTGTTTAAAAGAAAGGTCCCATTTTCTGTTGCTTGCTTTAGTAGAAATAAATGCCTTGAGAACTCATTTATAAGGACCTATACTTTCTGTACAGAAAAGGTTGTTGTTGTGTACTGTTGAGTTGGAACAACCCATAGCTGACCCTCAGGTGGATTTTCAGAAGCAGTTTAAGCACATGGAAGGAGATTGCCTTCTTCCAGGGAGCAGCTGGTGGATTTGAACATCGTGCCTTCAGGATTGCCACTCAATTTCTAATTACCACCAGGCCACTAGAGCTCCCAAGTTAACCTGACTAGTATGTAATTATACATGTAGAGAAGGTTAGGGTTGAGTTTTTTGGCCAGCCCAATATGCTATGGTCTTTTGGACATTCAATAGTACAGAGTCAGCACATATCTGCTTGCCATACAGGTCCCACTAACAGGCTATATTCTGTTGATGAGTGGAAAGACTATCAGAGACAACTGTGTGGAGGCTTAGGTGACAATCCAACTCCATATCTTCAAGCCAGGAGACACCACACAATGACCACCTCATGTTGGGTTTACTCTTGGTAAACTGAGCTCTGGTGAAGTAGTCCGCAGAGAGTTGTGGTGCTAACTCAAAGGCCATGCCTCTCTGATGGTGACAACACGGGGCGGTGGGAGTGGAGGTGGAAGATCGCCCATTTCTTGTGTGATTTACAGCCTTGAGAACCCAGTGGAAGGTCAGCTATGAATCAGCCCCTGTGTTTTGGCAATGAGTTATGAATTTCTTGGTGGGCTAATATTCTTTCAGTTTGTATGAAAAGGTTCTGAATTCAAACAATCTATTTCGTTTCAAACTGGTCACTTTCAGTAGTGTATGGGGTGTACACTTTGGCTTGACTGGGGAATTCAGGGGGAGTGACCAGGAATTGCAGCAGGTGGCCTTCATGTGCTGAGGGGCCAGGCATTGTTTGGTCTGCTCTGTTTTCAGTGTCCCCTCCTTGGTAAACATTGCTAATTTAGGAGACCCAAGCTTGGTCAGCTGTTTTTGCATGATAATGCACCTCCCAGAGAGTGTAGACAAGGCCTGGGAACTGCAGATAAAAAGAGTTCCTGATAAAGAGGTCTGGGTGGGGGAGTCCTGAATGCCACAACAGGCAAGCCCCAGGAGGAGACCCACTCCTCTGGGGGCTACATCTGCCCCTGAAGGAGCCTTTGGTAAGGGGGGATGGTGCCAAGTGTCTCAGCTTCCAGGCCAGAACTGGTCTGGGCCCAAGGAAGCATAATGCAGCACAGAGAGCTCTA